CCCCATCATAACTGAACAGGAAATTAAACAGCGGGCGGGAAATATGTTTTGCCATGTTATGGTTGGGTAATACGCTATTACACTTCCATCATTTACTGAGTTCTGAATCATGAATAAAAACATCTCAGGGTCACCAAAACGTAACACTCTTTATTATGACAAAAATACATTTAAGGTTCCAGGTATTTTATGACAAAATACTGCTATAAAAGTGAAACTTCACCTAAAAAACAGGATTCACTGTATTTTGAAAAAGACAGAAAACAGCGTAGGAAGGTATTTTACATATACATCTTCCTTCACTATATTCATGGTGCAATCCTGATCTTCAGCGAGAATGCAAGTACCTACAATAACTAACTGCAATAAACGAGAAGTTAACTATATTCTGAATATTTCAAAGCAATAATTAAATTGCTTGGAAAAGTTCTATTATGCTTGTCTTTGAAAAATAACTCACATTTATTTGACCAAAACAGAAGCAAGTAAATGCCTACCATATACAATAGTACTAAGACTGCCTGTGGGGCTATAAGAACCTCATTACTTAGTTGAAGTATTTTGCTTCCAAATTTCCCAACATTTTCAGGCTTGATACCATGATCTTTATTTTCTCCTCACATCACCTGTATGAATTGCGTATTTGCAATACATGATTACCCACCTCATTGACTATGTTCACATCAAACAATGACCTAACTGGACATGACCAAGACACAAAAAAAAATGCTAAGATGGCAGTTTACATAGAATAACTGATTCTTCTCAAATGCATAACTACAGAAACTTTGTAGAAGTTTCAGGGGGCAGGGGGGAAAAGCTTATTTTTTTCCTACTTCTAAGCAATTTTCATCATCCAGATGTAATGAAGAGGTTACATCTAAAACCTGAACTAAAAGTACTCCCGCAGCATTCTCCTGGAGAAACTGGCTGCTCATGGCTTGGACGAGTGTACTCTTTGCTGGGTAAAAAACTGGCTGGACGGCCGAGCCCAGAGAGTTGTGGTGAACGGAGTTAAATCCAGTTGGCAGCCGGTCACAAACAGTGTTCCCCAGGGCTCAGTTTTGGGGCCAGTCTTGTTCACTATCTTTATCAAAGGTCTGGATGAGGGGATCGAGTGCTCCCTCAGTAAGTCTGCAGATGACACCAAGTTGGGCGGGAGCGTTGACCTTCTCGAGGGTAGGAAGGCTCTGCAGAGGGACCTGGACAGGCTGGATCGATGGGGCTAAGCCCAATTGTATGAGGTTCAACAAGGCCAAGTGCCGGGTCCTGCACTTGGGTCACAACAAGCCCAATGCGATTCTACAGGCTTGGGGACGAGTGGCTGGAAAGCTGCCCAGAGGAAAAGGACCTGGGGGTGCTGGTCGACAGCCGACTGAACATGAGCCAGAAGTGTGCCCCAGTGGCCAAGAAGGCCATTGGCATCCTGGCCTGTATCAGAAATAGTGTGGCCAGCAGGAGGAGGGAGGTGATCGTGCCCTTGTACTCGGCACTGGTGGGGCCACACCTCGAATACTGTGTTCAGTTTTGGGCCCCTCACTACAAGAAGGACATTGAGGTGCTGGAGCGTGTCCAGAGAAGGGCAACGAAG